GGTTAAGTCTCCGGGCAGGGAAGCCCAATAGAAATATATGCCAGATGTCTATGGAATCTTTATTTTTCTAGTAGGTATATTTTTTTAATTTTATTTTTTATTTTTTTAGATTCTATTTATTTATTCATGACAGATGCACAGAGAGAGAGACAGTCAGAGACACAGGCAGAGGGAGAAGCAGGCCCCATACCGGGAGCCCGACGTGGGAGTCGATCCCGGGTCTCCAGGATCGTGCCCTGGGCCAAAGGCAGGTGCTAAACCGCTGCACCACCCAGGAGTCCCCAGGTACATTTTTTTAAAAGGCGAAATTCTAATACATTTAATTGAACACAATATATCCAGTGTTATTACAATAATGTGTAAGCAATAGAAGTACTAATGAACTACCTTTTCTTCTAATTCAACAAAAGTCTGCTATGCATTTTACTCTTCAGCACGGCCACATTCCAAGGGCCACCGCGTGGGCAAGTGCAGGTGGGGGGCAGGGTTGTGGAGGGGAAGTGGGGGGCTGTGTCCTGGCCTGGAATCTGGGGGCCATGGGGCCCGGGGATGGGGGGCGGTGCAGGGAGGGGGTGAGGACAGAGGAAGCTGCTGGAGGCACGAGGCAGCCACCGTCAAGGGGACTCACCTGAGGACACAGGTGGTGGTGCATCAGGCCCAGTGGGCTGGGGCCGCGCGTGTGAGGGTGACAGGCGGGAAGGGGGAGGCTCGGGCAGCCGGCCCCGTCTGTAGAAGTGACCCTGCACCCCCAGCGCAGCTCCGGGACCCGCCAGCCCCCTCCCAGGTGCGGCTCAGCCCAGCAGCCCGTGCGCTGCGCTGCCTTCAAGCCAAGCCCGGCCTGGGCCTGTTGCCGCTGAGCCCGGTGGGGCCCGGGGTCAGCGGTGGGGCCTCCGGGGTCAGAGCCACCACCAGGGGGTGCGGCCCCCCCAGCCTGGAGCACCTGGGCCGGGACACGGGGTGCAGGGGCGGAGACACACGGATGCGCGGGTTGCCCTCAGGGTTTTTAATCTACTTTAGTTCGTTTCAGGCGTCGAGGCTGCGTGGGTCACATGGCGAAGAGCGCGACGCACCAAGAAGCTAAAACAAGAACATTCCCGGTTCTGGGGCAGAAGGCACAAGTGAGGTGGTTCACGGCAAAGGCACAGGGGTGCGGGAACCGGCCCCAGGGGACCCCGACGCCGACTCATGGCCTTCCTCGGGGCCCAGGGCGCCAGGGGAGCGCTTCCCTCCAAGTGGCAGGTGCGACTCGGGTCCTCCAGGTGCGCCGCTCCATTTAACCCTCACGGCGGGACAGGCCACCAGCATCCGTGGCTCGTGATGGACGAATGAGAGACGGGCCAGAGCAGGTGCCCGGGCTGGCGGGCGCCGGAGAGGGATTCAAACCCGGGGCCGCACGCTCTCGCCTCCCCATGTCTCCTTCACCAGCGACAGACAGTAAGGGGTGGGACGACCTCGGGGGAGCCTGGCTTCCAGCAGCGGGGCCACAGAGCCGCGGGGCTGAGGCACACGGGGCGCGTGGCCCGTGGCGGGGCTGTGCTGTGGCTCTGCTGCGCCCACGTCGTCCGGCAGCGACCGCGTGGGCTCCTCGTGGCTGCAGGTGACAGCCACCTCCCATCCAGGAGAGCGCTGGGCACGGGGGTCCCCCCGACACGGGGCTCCGGCAGGCCCACCTTTCCCCTCCTCCCGCCTGGGCCTGCTTGGCGCCCCAGGGGACCCCTCTGGAGGGGCTGTGCCCCCGGCTGGAGCAGCCACGCAGGGGCCGGGACGCCCAGGCGCCCAGGACGGCCGGCGGGTGCTGCTCCCCCAGGTGCTGTCCAGGCGGACACGCTCCCGGCTCCTCCCGACGCTCCGCTGCGACCCCGAGGCCCTGTCGTTCGGTTCTCCTCCCTGAGGGTCCCGGGCCGGCGCTCCTCGAGCTCCTCATCCGGGCCGGGCTCCTGCTGCCCCTGTGGACGGCAGGCGGCCCCGCCGGGCTCGCGCGCTCACTGACCTCCCGCGGCACGGTGCTCCGGGCCAGTGAGCCCGGGGTTGGGGACCGAGCCATGGGACCCGAGGCGCGCGTAGGGCCGCAGGCAGAGCCCGAGCACTGGGAGCCCCGGTAACCGCGCACACTCCTGCTGACGGGGCATCAAAACGCATTTTTAGGACCATCACCTCCAAGCAGTGTCCCTGACCCTGGGGTCGCTGCCCTCATCAGGCCCGGGTCGCCAGGGCACCTGATGAAGGAGGGAGCGGAACAGGTAGAGCACGCTCCGACTCCCGGCTGGGATCCCCCCCCCCACAGGCCCCGGTCCGAGCCGGTTCCAACCTTACCGCACCCCTGCACCCCGGGCCCGGAGAGACCTTGGGCCCTGCCGTCGACCCCCAGCCCTCAAGGCCACCTGAGGTCCGTTTGGAGACTGTTGACTTTTTTTTTTTAAGACTGTGACGTTTTTGAAACAAATACCGAAAATCTGTCGTTTTGCAACCTCTGTGTTCTTTGATTTAGGTTTTATTTATTTTTTTAAAGATTTTATTTATTCATGAGAGAGAGAGACAGACAGACAGACAGAGGGAGAAGCAGGCTCCACGCAGGGAGCCCGACGCAGGACTCAATCCCGGGACTCCAGGATCACACCCTGGGCTGAAGGCGGCGCTAAACCGTTGCGTCCCCCAGGGATCCCCGGATTTAGGTTTTAAAGGGAACATCTCTGAGTGGCCACGATTACAGTCACGACCGAGGCCCTACAGGCACCCCGGAGTCTGAGATCCCGCGTCGCCACACCTCGATTAAGATAAGAGGAAGAGAACGGGCACGCGTTTCTGCTAGAAGTATCAGCGTGACTTTGGGTATTTTATTCCAACTCTCCGAGTCCCCGTTTCCTCACCTGCTGGGAACAGGAGAAGTTGAAGAACAAGGTTTACTTACCAGCACCTGCCACATTTCACGAACTACAACCTGTGCTTTCGTAACTTACTGAGTCACCAACGACCTTTTGAGATAAATGCAATTATCGTCAGTGATTTACCGATGAGAAAATTTAAACAGAAACAGCAAGCAGGGACAGAAACTCTCCGTAACTAGTCTTAGGTGGAGTACCAGCTGGGAGGACCAGGGCTCAAACCCCGGCAGTGCGCTAGCACCCGGGCTGAGCGACAGGACCCGGGGTCAACGTGTGTGGAGGGCGGGAGACACCACTTGGGAGGTCAGCACACGGCCCGGCACACGGCAAGCACCCAACAAATCGCGGCAAGTTATCAAAACAAAACACGATTCTAAAATAACGCATCCACAATAAAAAAAAATTAAATAAAATAATGCATCTTGCAGCTATTTGGCGGTAAAAACATGCACATGCTCAAAGCATATGCACATTTTCACATATATGTGAAGTAACTATCACCCAGTAGATCTTTTGCCATCGTGTTATCACGAAGTCACTCTTGAGATTTATATTTTCCTTTTTTTGCTGGATTAACGAAGCACCAGTAAAGCCAAGGACGTAAATCAGAATTTATTCTGAACATACCATAAGGAGACAAGACGGTTGGTCAAATATTCTCTCCTCCTGAACACAAAGGATGTATCAGTAGCATCTTTTTTTTTTAAGACACAACGATTTATAAAACTGCAGAGCAGGTCTGTCTTAAATATTCACAGATAAAATCATGAACCAACATTAATCTGGAGTAACTGGCCATCAATAAACATTTACTGAGAGTGTGTTCTACAGAGGGTATTTTCTTTAGGACAGAATTAACGGAGCTTTCTATTTGGAGGGGCTGAGAAATGCCTCTGTTCTCTCGCCCTGCTTGGGAGAAGGGATCTGAGTCTCTGACCTCACCTGACCACACGGAGAACGACTCCCCAGTTAGTAAAAGTAATGGATTTATGTTCTTGTCCACAGACTGGAAACGGTATCAGATGAAATCCTGGGCATAATGTTGAGTCAGGACTACTGTAAACTGAAATAATTTATATACCTGGACCTTCAAAATATCTGAATGAAGCTTTAAATTCAACTACGTGGGTATTTTACCCACCCAGTTGTCAAACATCTCCATGTTTCCAAATTACTGGTTTGACTAAGGCCCGGCTCTCGTTCCAACGCTTGTGTTAGGTTAAATCAGTCTGTTTATAATGACAAAATACTAAATGGTAACGCGACATTCCAAGGTAGCTGATCTTTCATCTAAAAGTAGGTATAACTCATAAAGAAATGGTCTAACCCCTTTCCCCCCTAAAAAAAAAAAAATCCTACTGACGGGTGACTTCCTGCAAGGTGGCATTGGACGTATCTGCCAAGACAGCCTTTCCTTCAATCCAAGACGTTAAGGACAAATACTATTATGGTTACAACCTACGATAGACATTTCTCTGTCTTCTTAAGTGTGAGTCAAATGTGTATCAGCAGTTACTTTGTGTCTGTAACCTGGTGGGCAAATTTTTATGTACTGTATTTTTATAATGGTCCATTTTTTTTAAATGGTCCATCTATTTAAAAGATCACTTTATTGAGACAGATCTTTTCAGTGAATGTAATAATAAACCATGTAACTTTACAAAGGAAAAACAAAGTCAACGTCGTCGTTGTCTGGATATAAAGGAAACTTGGTACCACTGTAAATGAAACGAAATCACATGGAAATGGAAGACAAGAAAAAAAAATCATTAGTATGTAGGAAGCAGGCATTACCCAGATTGGCACTTTACTTAGCGGCCTGGCTGATTTTAGGCACTGGCCAAGTCTCAGTGGGACAGCCGCGATTACAGAACCGTCAAGCAGCTAAAACTCGCCGTATACATCGTCTAAGATACACAGATGAGTTTATATAATGAAACCAATATATTGCTTTGCAATTATGAGTACTGTAGTGTATTTTTAAAAACTTGCTCAACATTTACGAAAAAATATCATAACTTTGTAAGCTCAGAACGCAGGACCAGCCACAAAGCCTATCAAAGTAACAGAAGACCGCTGGGGAATTCCTGGGTTGCAAAATGTTAAATAGCACAGACATGAGAGACAGAAAGATTTTATTTTTTCTTTTGCTTTCATCCAAACACACCCTTTTCTGGAAAACGTAAAAGCATGCACATTGATGGCATTCTTACAAAGAAAAACTAAGTAATAACTAAGCTGCAAATCAACAATAATAGTAAGACAAAGGCTTAAATGATATGTGAAAAGATGTACAGGTAGATACAGGGCTCTTAATTTTAGAAAATAATAATTCAAGTCATATCAACACATGTTAAAAAGAAGCTTCTAATTTTCCAAATATTTTGATACAAAATTTTTAAACTAACAAATATATTTTATAGAACTTTTGTGAGAATATAAGTATGTTCTTAAGAAACATGATGTTCAAAGTGATCTTATGCAGTTCACTGTGACTCCTTAAAGTCAGTTATAATCAACATAATTCCAATGGTATTTCTTCTTAAAATTTAAATTTAGAGCATATCCATGATATTCAAAGTAAGTTATGCAACTTGCATTTACTTTGATCTAATTAGAAATAGGTTCTAACTTTAGGGTTTTTTTTTTTTTTTTTAAAAAGTATTAACAGAGACACGGGATTGATTTGAATTTCACCTTACAATAAGAGAAAAAACGACAATTGGCATGAGAACACTTTTCAGTTTTACTGACCCCGCCACACTTAACCAGGCCGGCCGTATCCCGTGGGGATGTGTGCACACACACACTAACGTATGTACAATTCCCTCCACCCGGCTCCGCAAAGGTGCCGACACGGCCTCCTGTCTGGGTCTGGAGAATCCGTCAGACGAAATCTCCCTTATTTATTATTTTCATTTTGTTCATGATTCAGCTGGTGTGTTTCATCTGGGGACATGGATACAATTTTACAACAAAAATCCATTAAGCAGAAATGTTATCTTAAGGGACTAGTAGGCAATCACATTTAAGTTGTGACATAAAAACAGAGCAGATCCACAAAGGCCGTCCTCCCGCACAGGACAGATCTTATTATTTTGAGACTGAAAACCCAATCGTGTGATTTGGTTCCTGAAACACAGCTCTTGTGTGGAGGTGACGTGGACGGTGGTGTAGCCCCATGGGGACTCATGACAACTAAACACATCCGTCCAGGCCTGACGGATGCAGTCTCCCGGGCTCGTGGAAGGTGACCTTCTTGACGTGCGACAACCGCAAACCGTCTGCTGCAGCCAGCGAGGCCGGCCCCGAGAGCGTGGAGGAAGGGCCTCTGCCGCAGCACTGACACGCCTCTCCCCGGTGTGTGTCCTGTGCCAGGCACCGAGCAGCATGCTGCCGGGAATCCAAAGGAAAAGAATCCAAACACGGTGGGAATCGACCGTGAGGACATTAAAAAAGTGACTTCTGAATTAAAGGTTTTGCTAAACTCAAGAGTTACAGGCAAAAGGCACATGCTAGTGAATCTAGTCAGACGTCTGGAGGCTCCCATCACCTCAAATATCTGCGGACTCAGGTCCAACAACGGTTCACACTGATTATTTTGATATAAAAAATGATAGGAAACCTGCAGGTTTTCAAGTAGTTATGGCACAGATGTCGGGAAGCACTAAGAGCTTCGCGGAACTCTTCAGAAAGCCGGGCAATGGAAAGTTCTGCCACAAAGAATCAGGGTCACAATTCTAACTTAAACTTAATTCTCATATTTTATACATTATTCTTTTGTATACAATACAGGGTGTGCAAATTAAGCTGTTTCAATAAATATTAGAAATGTTAATTACTCTGCAAATATAAAGTAAAATCAGCTAACGATGCAGTCCACTAAAAGCATGCGCTACCCAGAGCTTCCTCCCCACGTACAACTCCTCGCCCTTTACCTTGTATCCCTCTTATATTTAAATACAATTTCTTTCACTCACTTGGAGAAATTAAGCAAACAGCAAAATATCACAGAGCTCCAAGATACTAAATACCGTAGCGAGAAAGGCTGGATTAGTCAAGTTGTAAAAAATTAAAAATAACAAATACAGTAAAATATACTGCAAATTAATGTTCATGAATGCAGCTATTTGAATTACAAAACAATCATCATACAATCCTATTAATCTTCTGAAGATGACATTAGTTCACAGGAGATGCCAAGTGATAGCATACACTGCTTAGCTTTTCCCTTTCCAGCAGCTTCTGTTCTAAAGTCATGAAACCACGTTATGTTTGCCCAAGACCAACTGCATATTGGCTTTAATCAGAAATTCTATTTTATCCAATGTTCAATCAACAAGGCTTTATTTACACTTCTTATTAAATTCGGGAAACAATCTGACGTAAGGTGTGGCTGCCAATACTAAACCATGCAGCGCATCCCACTGCCTGCAGACGGCTGGCTACCTGTTCATGCCTTTATACTAACCCACAAGCAGCCAATTAAGGTTCCATAAATCCACGTTCTCACATAGAGTTTCCTTCCAGCCTCGGTCATGAGCATTCCAGCAGTCAAACCACTTAAGATCAACAACGATGGTAAAGTCTTCTTGAGACTTAATTTAGAATTAACACTTTCCCCAGGAAATTTGTTTCTTCGTTCTGGATCCAGTGAATCATAAAATTCAATAAGCAACCTGTGGCCACAATGGAAAAAAAGAATTCAAGTTCAGGCTTAGTCATTTAATATTCCAACTAAACAAATAGCTACTGGATGCCTATCACATTCTGGAGAAGCTATAGGTCCTTGGGGCGCGGGGGGGGGGGGGTGAGATCAATAAGGAAATACCCAGAGACTTGATTTAGTTGGTTTCTGGAATTTAAAAATACCTTTAATATTCTATTGTATGCAATTCTTTTTAAAACATGGTTTTAAGTAATTTTATGGAGATGATTTTTTTAAGCTTTAGATTTTTAATAATTTTAAACAACCAGACTCGCACAGGGTAATAGCCCATCTCACTTTGTTCCCACCTTCCCCATCTTTACTCTTCCTTCCTATAGCTCTCATTCCATCAGAAGTCAAAGAAAGAGTAGAGCTCTTGTAACATACATGGGGTTTCCCCCCAAAAGCCCCTATTGGCATGGAATTATAAAAATAGGTACAAGAAGAGAAAAACAGCATAGTTACTTCATTTTCCTATCTAATTTTAAAACTGTAAAGTTATAACAGCAGAACAGACTCGGCATAAAACTCCCAAACCCAAGTACAAAAGTGGAAAGTCCTTCTATTACCTAAACAGGTTCCCTAGAGAGAACCACTGTTTTAAAAGGTCCAGACTCGTCCTAAGTATGTGTTGGCGCCTGTAACACGACGTACATTGGATATTAAGCATACTGTTCAAGCTTTTTTTTCTGAGAACTGATTTCCATGTCAAAACACATGTATTTTACTTTAGAACTTTCTTCCATAACCAGAGTGGGTAGCACTGAGCGGCTGGTGGAATTAGGTCACGTACATCTGACGCGATGAAATACAGAAATGCAGCTCCTTGTCTATACACTTCATAAAGCTTCATTTTCAATGCAGCACACTTTTAATAATTTTAACTCTTTAAAGTTAACTCGCAAGGGTCAATGAGGAAGTAATTTTACTGTAATACAACCACGAAAGGGAGAACAGAGCAGTCTGTTGAGAAGCACATTTGAATAAAACAGGAAAGATTTCTGAACATAAACCTAATTTTGGAAGTCTTACTTTTGAGTCTGTAAAAACTCCACACTTTTCAACATGGTTTTTAGTAAATGATGCATCCTATAATTAATGGATCTATTTTTTTCAAAAAGAGGATAAATAGTAGAGATGTTTAAAATATTCTTTCAAAAACAGGATATGCATCAGAAAGGATAAAACTCCCATTGACAGCAAACAGTAAATAATAAAGCCTGAAGTTTTCATCCAAGAGAATTCAATTTCTAAGTATCATATCAAAACCTGACATCTACTTTTTATCTTCCTAAAATGAGAAGAAAATTCTAAAATGTTTTCCTTTGGAAAACTGTATTAAATCCAGGAGGTTCTAATATCCTCTGCAGAGGGCACCAGCCTCTTTCAGGTTTGCTCTTCAGTAAGTGGGACATCATGACCCCTCCCTCAGTTTGACCTCTTTAAGCTGTGCCTCACCCAAGAGGTATCTAAAGACACCTGTAATTTGCTTCCAGGCAACGCTCAGCAAGGGTCAACCCTGTTGTTCACAGTGTTGTTCGCTCTGAAGTGATGTTATTAGTGTGAACGAACTCAAGGTCCATCCTAGAAACTGGTTAGGCCCCAAAGAACTCACGGCAAAAAGACCCTTTGGTCCGAACCACGTCACCTGCCCTTTCCTCTTCCGACACTTTCCACACGTACATCAGACACTCCTCCACCCACAGCCTCACCTTCTGGGCATGGGGGGCATGCCAGCCAGGTCTCAAGCACGCACCATGTGGTGTGACCTGCGGCACCTCACAGTGGAAAGTCTGTGTGTGTGTGTGTGTGTGTGTGTGTGTGTGTGTCCGTCCTCTAATTTCATATCTCACCAGAGTCCTGTCTAGGAACTACTGCGAATAAAAGCAGGGAGCCCTCCTGTAGTAAGTTCTCTCACAGACTTTGTAACAGTGAAGTTTAAAACATGAACAGATTGGACCTGAGTCTATTAAAAAAAAAAAAAAAAGCATTCTTAAGATAATAAGACTGCTTACATTAGTTTCAAATTGTTTATTTACTACAGTGAAATTTAGCTGAACTCAAGTTTTTGAGGTAGGAGAACTGCTGTTACTCACTTATCTTTGATTTCAAAACGCTCATGAAGCCATCTTCTCATATATGCTTGTTCTTCCGGAACATCCTTTTTGTCTATACGGTCAATGTGGATATGAATTTTTGGACATTCTTTGCAGAGAAATTCTAACAAGAAACAAAAAAAATTTCATCCTTTTGTTATTTTGGAACTCATGGGTTATGTAAAACAATTCAAAATGAGGTAAAAAAAATTTTTAAATGATGGAAAAGCATTCTTCAGCAAAAAAAAGAAAGAAAAAAGCTAAAAGAAAACAAGAACTATAAACTGATTCAAGCTGAAGTAGAACCGTGTGTTAGAATTTCCAGTCCACTGCAACTGCCCGCGTGGTAAGTTGAGTCAGTAGCCGTACGGTAACGCTGACTTCCGAGGCAGCCCGGGAGGAGAGGCTGGACCCCGCCAAGTACAAACCCAGCCTCTGAGGGGTCCCCGAATGCCAGGCACCCTGAGGCTCACTGGCCACCAGTTTCCAAGCACATCACTCTGCCGTTCCCACTGGACCGTGGGCCCCAGCAGGGAGGAGATGGAGCCTGTCTGGCTCCCTCTGCCAGAGCGCTGGGAGCGCGGAGGCGCGTAGCCCGGCACCGACCGTCACATACCCAGACCCGGACGTGGGAACAACAGGCCCTGCTCCAGGACGAGCCAGTGGTCTCCCCTCGCTGCTACTCCCCGTATATTCACATACCATCCTCGGCTTAGGAACCAAATATTCTTGGTGGAAGAGCCACGAGCTCTTAGATGGCAGTTCCTCCAGCGCCCTACCTTGAGCAAAGCAGGCGGTCCCTTAGCAGCCTGGGATGCCCAAGCGATGAGGCCAAGATTTACTCCAGGACAGGAAACCCTGAGCTGGGAAACCCCCTTCCTTGGAGGCGGCTCTCGGTGAAGAGGCGAGGTCGTTCACATACTTCAAGGCCTCGGAGAACCAGGAGGTGTTCCCGAGGGACGTGAGGAGACTAGGTTCCCTAGGTGAGCCTGCAAGGAGGAGGCGGAGGCCTGCTGCCTCAAGAGGACGCGTGTTCAGTCATCTAGAAGCGGTGACTCACAGGCTCTGCAGTTGGAGGAAGACCTTGAGCTCAAAGAAGTCCCCGTTCTTCGGACTCCGCACACAGCTCCTTTTTGCTACGTATTCTCTACCACGGTTCTTCTCCATCACTGGTGTCATCAAGCCTCAGTACCACGCGGCCTTTCCGTCATCAAAACTCTCCTGTCACTTACTTTCCAGAGCGAGCTGGCTTTGATGATAAATGTGCAAAAGGCACTGCCAGAGGGAAGACTTCACCATTCGGTATTTTTGTCTTAGTTTTCCCCAACTTCTGTTTTCATGAATGTCATCGAATTGCCGCTGAAGAATATTTTAGCAGCGGAACCGTGCGGCGGGCAAGAGCCGGACAGGTGTGGGTGGCCCCCTGGTCAGCCCTGGGCAGACGTGTGAGCTCTTGGCGTGCGTCTCCCGGTGTGTGAGCCGGAGACTCAGAGACAGGGGTGGGTGGGGGGCAGCTCCCGGCTGACAGGGCTGCTGAGCCTGGCCTGCTCCGTGCGGGGTGGTGGTGCCAGCACACCAGATGCCCGACGTGCCCCTCCGCATCGCCGGAACCACACATGCATCTACCCTGACAGCGCGGGTGCGAGGAGACAGAAGTGAGCAGACTTCAAAAGTCAGAACTGGCACGCGTGTAAACCACGGTGCCTGGGAAGTGACAGCAGTGTCCTTCGTGGGACATCAGCTGAGGAGGGCAGAGGCACAGACCCTGTGAATAGGACTCCCGGCTCCAGAGGGGTGCTTTCAGGGTGTGCCCCCTAAGGTTTACGTGGTACTCTGGTGTTTACAACCGTGTCGTGGGCGTTATTCCATCCCATGTCTGGGAGTCCATGGAGCCAAGTGCTACCACGCTTGGCTCAGAGAGGACCCAGGGCGCACAGAGGCCTGAGGTGCATGGAGGCCCAGGGTGCACAGCGCTGGAGCCCATCAGCCGGCCCGTGTTGAGGACCCAAATGTAAACCATGACAATCATCAGATAAACACTACATGACTTTCAGGAGACACGAAAGAAGTGACATAAGTGTTTTCTTCAATATTTAATAAAGCTCATGTATCTATACTTGTAAAAACTATTTTAGTTGAAGGTTATTTCATATTGTGTGAGCAAAAAATTTTCCCATAATATTTAGAAATATATGGTAAAAGTGTTCTAATTAAGGTATACTGTTTTCCTCCTCAGAACTTTCCTAGTAGAGCCCCAGAGTATACTGACATGCGAGGGTAATAGGAGTCTTCCAGGTACTCCCATATGTCACAAGGACTAGTCTCTGGAGAAAATGAGCTGCATTTGCTCTGTGCCTGGGGAGACAGGAGAGAAAAGCCGGGCTCAGAGAGTGAAGCAGAGGATGTCCATGTGCTGACCTGGGACAACCTGCACACGCCGGGACCTCACCTGGCCCCCACACTGCTGGCTGGCTGGCTAACAACCCCTGCCCTCTCTTCCTCTAGGGCAAAAAGATGACCTAAATCCCAGAGTAGAAAGCTGGGCAAACTGTTGTAAAGTCACACCAAGGGGCATGATGTGGCATTTTTCAAACATTATAAGTGTATATACTGATGTGTAAGGATGTTTATGGACACCCTACTAAGCAATTAAAAGCAAGATATAAAGAAAACAATATATACAAATGACCTCATCAAAAAAATATCCAAAGGCACAAACATACTACAACATGGAGACATTATAAAAAGGAAGATTTTGAGGAAAATATCCCATTTGTTAACTGCATCTGGACGGGTGAGCCTGTAGCATTTCATTCCTTCTTTGGGATTACCTGTAATTTCCCCCTCTAATAAGTCTCCGTTTCATATAAGAAAATAGTAACAGAAAAAAGCTACCCAGCACCCTATTAAATGATTTAACAGAACCTTAGCTTCACAATGTATTATGCATACCACCCACTAGAGAAATGGATTTTAAATAAGTCAATGATCATCAGACTGGCCTCTCTCTCCTCTGCCCGATGGACATGGTCCAAGGAGGACAAAGACCTGATGACAAGACCAGAGGAACCACAAAGTGCATGCCCAGTGGGCTCTGGTCAATACTCCCCTTACAAGGAAAGGCACCACGAAATGAGAAGCACAAGCATCACTACTGCTGCCTCTCTAACATGACGCCTCGTTAAGGCCCAAACTGGAAGACTCATGAGCACAAGAGTTCACAGACACTGCAGCTTCTGCCCTCACCTGCAGCCCGTCCACCTTAGCTGTCTAGAGCGGCGCTGAGGCCCTGCATGCTCAACAGTCATCCCAGGTGACTCCGATGGAACTATAATACTTCTACACTGCGCTGAGAAAGGCTGGCCTGGGGCATATAAACACACAATCTAGCAACCCCAAGATTTAGCAACTATGGAAATAATGTTTTTAATTGGGTGTCAAATACGAATCTTAAATGACAGTCCACTATGTATGGAGATAATATTCAATACTAATTACACTCACCCACCAAGTACTTACGATGTTCTAAGGTACGGAATCTTATTTTTTTTTAATTTTTTATTTTATTTATTTATGATAGGCACACACAGAGAGAGAGAGAGAGGCAGAGACACAGGCAGAGGGAGAAGCAGGCTCCATGCACCAGGAGCCCGATGTGGGATTCGATCCCGGGTCTCCAGGATCACGCCCTGGGCCAAAGGCAGGCGCTAAACTGCTGTGCCACCCAGGGATCCCAGGTACGGAATCTTATACCTAATGCAACTTACATCATAAATTTAAAGTGCATCTTAATCTACACTAGATTAACGTAGGGCAGACTATCAATCGATTTACAAGGTAACGGGAGCAAGGACTTTCAAGCTACGGGTCTCAAACTCACAATTAAAATCAACATGGAACACGGAAAACCAGATGTCACCTCTCATGTGCACAGGTACATTGGTGGAGTAATTTCTCAGCAGTGGAAATGCACGAGCACTTGCAAAGCGGGCACACGCGGCCAGGGCAGCTTCTACAGAGGCTGCACTGTCCTACATCTCTAACAGCAAAGTACAGACGTGACTCTTCTACTTGAAGTTCACCCACAGGGTCTGTCTTCAAACCTGATACTGGGATTTTTGCCAACATGATCATAAAACATGTTATCTTGCTATAAATTTTAATTTGCATTTTTCTTATTATGAATGAGATTGAGCACTTTTTTTTTATGTGAACTATTACGCAGTTATTGATCATTTTCTTATCAATTTGTAGAAGCACTTTATACATCAAGGGAGTCCGGCTTTTTTCCCTGTGATCTAAGTTGCAAGTATTTTCCCACTTTGTCTTCAGTCTTCTGATTTTACTATGGTGTATTTTTCCTCGTGGAAATATTCACCCTTAATTGACTGAAATGACAGATTTATTTTCCACATGGCTTCTGGGTGTGATAATTAGAAAAGCTAACCTCCTCAAAAAGAGACAATTTGTAAGGAAAACACAAAGCCACTGTCAGCTAATATGTATGCAGTAGAGGAAGCAGAGCAGTGGGAGGGGGTGCTGGGTTGGAATCTAGACAATGCAACTCTAAACTGGTTTTCTTCCTCAAGGCTTCTCACCCTGTTGGGGGAGGTAAAGAACCACCATATGCTGTGTGCTAACCTTTTGGCATAAGCACGTAATGCCATGGGAGAGCTAAAGCAAGAGAAAGCAACTGAGCTAGGGGAGAGGAATGTTGGGGGGAGGGCAACAAAGGGAAGGGGTTTCACTTGGAAAGGAGGCCTGGCCTGCACACAGCCTTCATTCCTGAAGGCGAGGGAGTGAAAGAGCGGACAGCTAGGATACAGAGTCCTCGGAGGGCAGGCTAAAGAGGTGGGACTTGGCCCTTGAGCACTGCCCAAGCCAGGAGCTCTTACGACCGGGACGGTGGCATAATGAAAGCATTTTGCAAAGGTTATTATGGGAATTATATGTTTCTCATGAACAATAAAAACATGTTCAATAAATCTCATTTTTTAAACAATGATAAACTAGTGATAATATTGTTGAACAAGTAAAAAGCATGTCAGTTTTCAAATGTAAAAATAGGTCACTGACTCCTTGGATGGTTGAATAAAAGAAAAATATTAACACGTTGCCTTTTTTATAAGAAGGGAGGGACTACAGGGTAAGAATGTAGACTTAATTTTGAACATACGATACACAAAAAAATTAAGAAAAGTGGTTACCTTTGGGCAGGGGAAGGTGAACCTGGGTGGATGGGGACTTGGTGGAAAGCAAGCCATTTCACGGTATGCTTTATATAGTGTGGTTTTTAAACTGTTTGATGTATATTCCAAAAAATTCCATTTAAAGTGAAAAAAATCTTCAGCTTCCTACGTGACAACTGCTCTGTGTTAAAGGCAAGTGTGAGAGCAATCAGTCTCACTACTTCAGATTTGTATTTCCAGCCACTGTGACCACTGTTCACCCCATATGGCCCCCACTCACCCCCATCAGTGCTTCATCCCTGTCCTCTCCCCTGACCCCCTGCTCCGGGCAGCAACTCTCTGTGTCTTCTAGACATAGTCTGAACATCATCGGCCTTCAGGAGGACCTACTGACCGAAACACTCTGATAGACCTGGTGTTTAGACCTTCCACAGCCACCAATGTGGCACGAAAAACCCTGTTCCCTCTCTTGATCACAGCTCTACTGGGCACTTCCTTGTCTCCCTAATCCTAAATTTAAATTCCTCTACCAGCCGAGCGTATCTTTATGTTTAACTAGAATACTCTGCTCACTTAAAATTCTACTTTTTCTTGTTACATCTGACATACACATAGACAATAGCTAAAAGGTCTTCAAAGCCCAGCACAGGTTGAGGGAGCCTGAGTGGTTCAGTCAGTTAAGCCTGTGACTCTGGATCTCAGCTCAGGTCTCAGATTTCAGGGTTGTGGATTCAGGCCCCTCCACACTACGCATGAAGCCTACTTAAAAAAAAAAAAAAAAAAAAAAAAACCTAGCACAGATCTGAAAAAAAAGAGTCACATTTACCTGTTTCTTCTTGACAAAGGTAGTAAATTTTGTAAGTATCATGTAAAAGTACATAAAACATGAATGCTGACCACTGCAGAGGTGAGCACTCTCTTCCTCATTCCCTCCCTTTGATTTACATAGCCTTCCATTCTTATGGGTAGAAAGAAGCTAAATTAATGACAATGGGCAAGTCCAAAGGCCTAAAGACAGCAACCAGGAAATACCAAACTTAGCAGGACTCCTGATATTCAAACTGGTATGGATCAGTAAAAAATACCTGAAAAATAGATCAATTATATACTCAGAAAGTATATCAAGTAAATGTTATAAAGTACACTCACCCATTAAAGAGAATAATTACACATTCACAAATAAATGACATAATTCAAAATTTACACTCACCAGCCATGGATGGTGCTTCTTTCCGCTGCCCCTTATCATCAATAGTCCCTTCAAAAGCCACTGTCACATCATAAATTGCATCTAAATAATTCTTCATAGAATCAAAAGCAACATGAGTTGCCTTTATTCTTGGTGTCAGCACATGTTTTAATACTGCAAAGCCTAAAAAAAGAAGTGGATTCAGTGTGACCATAAATTAGTTACAAAACTCTTCATCAGAATATAATACCCAAATTGTTTTTAAATTCCCAGGAATAGACAAGAATATATTAAAAGCCACAATCTCCTACATACAGGACTTGAGGTTTAGAAAGTACTCTTAGGACTTGATCTATTTGAATCAACATTCATTTATTTATTAAACATCTATAGATACGAGATGCTGGGGAAAACTCAGAACACCGGCCCTCAGGAAGCTATGACCTGAGAAACCCTTCAGTTTGGTAAACCCTGACAAGGGCGGGTATTACAATCCTCATCTCTGGCAACAGAATAAATGGCATCCTGCCCTTCGCCACTTCAGATTCAGGAGTACGATGCATAAGTTTTGACTCCTAATCCACGATTTAATTTTATTTCTATTTAAACAGGGAGGTTGGACTGCAGGAGCACCTAAATGACCCCCGCTGTGTAGAGAACCTGAAGTAAGAGCTGGTGTGGTCTATATAATGTGGAACACCAGGCTTGATACCTACAATACTGCTTATTAAAAAAAAAAAAATTAAACCGAGAAATAATTTACACACCATAAAATTCATCATTTCAAATTGTGCAATTCAGTGGTTTTTAGTATATTCATAAAGCTGTGCAGCCATCACCACTAACAAATTCCAGGCCATTTTCATCTCTCCAAAAAACACCCTGGACCTTCTGCAGACACAGGACATTCTCCTTCCCTGGATTTGCCTGTTACAGACATTTCACATAAAGGGAATCAGACACCATTGGGGGCTTTTGTGTCTGGCTTCTTTCACTCAACATAGTGTTTTCGAGGCTCATCCATGCTGAGGTATGTTATCAGTGCCTCGTTACTTTTTGGAGATGAGTAATTCTCCACTGTATGGATATACCACATTCATTTATCTATCGATCATTTGGGTTGTTTCCAACAGGTGGCTACTATAAATAATGCTGCTACGAACATGCACATAAACTGTATGGGAATGCCAAACAAGTTTCCATATGAACATAGGACTTCAATTTGAGACAGATACATACACACATATACTGTATATACTTTTCAAAGTTTCTGTAACTGAGAAAACACTGCACTTTATATAGGATAATCAATCATATCCAAGTGCTCCACTAGTGTTAAGAATTTGTCTTTCCCACCCCCTTCCTATTTCCCACTGTCTCCCTTTCTCTTGATTAGAATATTTACTGACAATTTAACAGAATAGAGTAGGTTTCTGAAGTGACATGAGAACAGACTGGCCTAAACTTGATTTGGATTTTCTTCTGCCTCTCTCCAGGGAAAGTTAGCTGCATCAGGAAGAACAGCTATAGTATGTTCAGATCTTCCTGCAGAAGAATTTTTAAAATGTGAAGCGGTGTGGGAAAGGAAAAGATTCCCACAACCACATATCTGACTGAAGTCCCTAGGGCAGAGGCAGCTTAATTTATTCACAAACTTATAACAAAATGCTGAATAGTATAACAGGCTGGGAAACATCCACTTGTCGATTAAATTAGTTAATACTTCCTTCTTTGCTACTGGAGTTCATCCAATTTTATGAAGTCCAAAGTTCCACAGATTCACCCTGTGGTATTCAGTGAGAACAAATTACCAGAATCCACTAGTTAAGATAGGAAGACAGAAAAATACTAGTTAAAAAGAATAACGAAAGCCTGAATAAATCAGCTTTGTGACAGATGAATAAGAAATGCCCGTCACTAATACATAAGAAAAGCTAAGAAAAAGAATCTCACTGAGGAATGCACCAGGAGCCTGACTACTCTAAACACATTTTCTAGATCCAATCCACATCCTGCATATTTCAGCTTTTATCTTCCAACTCTTGAAAAAGAACAGCCAAGGAGGAGGGAGAAAAACAAGGAGACCAGGGTGACACAGAGGACCCCCGAGAAGAAAACATCTCAAGAAGGAACTGGTCAAATATGCTGAATGAGACACGCGGAAAGACCCAGAACCGAGAAGTGACCACCTGGCCAAACAAAGGTCATGTGTTACCTGGGTTAGTATTTTCCGTGGAATGGTAGGAACGGAAGCTCAGGGAGGGGGTGGAGTGAGGTGAGAAAACAGCAACAGCCCATTCTTTCTTGTGTGGCTACTAACACGAGGTCTACTGACCTCCTAAGGCTTAGAGGCACACAGGACACCCTCACTGTCACGGCAAACAGAGGCCGGCCCTTCTTGGATTGGAAATCACTTCATGCTCCTAGTCTGAGCCCATGAACTCCTCCAGTCCACGTGGGGAATAATCTACCATCTCTGATGGAGGGGTCTTCAACTCTAAACCATGAGAGGGTGCTCTCTATCCCCAAGCCCTGGGACATTATCATAAAACCAACTTCTAATGAACAAATGGAGACCAAGTAGAATTTCAACCGAGAGCGCGTGCCAGGAAACGGGTGCTCATGATGAACTGCTGGAGCTGGAGCCCACTGTCCTGAGACCTGACTCTGCCTCCGGGGATTTGCACAAAGACCCAGAGCCCCACACGAGAGGAAAGCAGTGCTTCATTAAGTCTCCTCAAGATTTTTTTCAATCACTTGTATCTGATTGGTGAAAGCCTCAGGAAAAAGAGGAGCCTGGAGAGAGGCCAAGAGGGAGGGATGCAGCGTACGAAATGGGGCCGAGACAGACCCGAGACAGACCCGGGGACCGGGAGAAGTGGGGGCCTGTGAGGTCTGCGGAGCAAGGTTCAGAGCCCGTGAGGAAGAGCGCTGAAGAGTAGGCTGGCGTCCCGGGAGAAGAGCTGCATATCCACAGGCGCTGGGCCCACCTGGCCTCTGGGACTCCACGGATTTTAGACCAAAGCAGAGACAGAATCTAGGTGCTGAGAAGAACATTTAGGGTTCTGAAATGCCTTGGGGCAGCAGGTCAGAGGCAGTCAAGTTGTGCAACCTGAAGAGAGAAAATGTCGCCAGGTGAGGTTATAAAAGCCAAATGCACAATGATTCAGCAACTAACTGAATGTGGTAAAAAAGGAGTGAAACACAAGCAGCCTTCTGCCCCAGAAGACACGTGCAGGGCGTGCCGTACGCCACGGGAAGGGCCAGGTGGAATTGCTGGGGGGATGTGTGCGCTCGCGTGGAGGCACCTGTCGTCCAGCAGCAGCGACAGAGCAGAGGCAGGGACAGACGAACAGAGGAGTTCAAACTGGGCACTCTGAGGTTGGAGCTGGAACGAACACTCTAGAAGCACTGAGAAATATGGTCTGTAAAACGGCAAGAACCATCCAGAGACAAATGGATCATCTGAATAGACACGGCAGCGGAGGTACTGGCTGTGGCTGAGATGAGAAGACGGAGGAGAACAAGTCCGTCCTGAATAATGTCAAAGCTGCATGTCCATGAATAGATACGAGGTGTGACAAAAACGATGATTGTTTGGTAAGTTGGAAAGGACTAGGTAAACGAGGAAGGTGGGAAGGTGGAAGGGGAATAAACTTCTGGGGAGTGGAAGGAGTCAATTGGGAAGATAAAAGGGGCCCAAACTTCTCCTTCGGCATCACCACAGGTGGGCTGCCTGTGGACACAAGCAAGCACACACACGGTTGGTTTATGTGACAATCAGACTGTGTCGGCAAGCCAGGGGACACCCAGCAGACAAGAGCGTGGGGGTGAGGTATGCAAAATAAGTTATTAGAGTGATAACATGAAAATCTTGAAACCAAGGATACACATGATTGTATGATGCAATCTTATCAGGAAAACAAAACTTCAAGGCAAAGACACCCTGGGATGTGAGGAGAAAAAATCTGAAAAAAAGAAGAGCTAGTCCAAAAGGGAAAGTAGAACTGCTAAACGTCCCCAACTGGCAAAGAAGGGAGGAAGCAAAGCAGGTGACACAGGGCTGAGAACCAGCAAGGCTAACACACATGCAGGAGCAGGGGCTGCAGGGCCGGGCAGACGAGGGCTACTCAACACCTGGAAAGCTAAGGAAGGGTCAAGGAGAGGGAGGCTCAAGCTGAGCCAAAAAGCAGGCTTCGGGAAGGAAGAGTGAGGAAGAGGCAGGAGCAGAACCGTCAATATAATTTGCAGGACCTAGGACAATTTCGAGACTGTGAATGCACAGCTGCGAAGCAAGCACGGGATTCTGTGCAGGAAAGCAGATTTTCCCTAAAAGCCTCCAGAAAGGCCTGCAGGCCTCCGCTCACTTTGACTCTAGCCCGGTGAGACTCAGGTCAGACTTCCAGCCTCCTGACCTGTGAAAGAACACATCTGGAGTGAATGTGCCTCAGCAGCCACCTCAGCTCCTAGCTGAAGGGACAGTGTCCCAGCAAGTCTGGGTCAACACTGGCCAGTAACTTTCTTTTTTAATGTCTGCCAGGTTGAGCTGCAGGAAGGAAGAATGCTTGTTCATGTGTACGGACCATTCTTATCTCTTAAATTTCCTATTCATGCACTTTTCCCGTTTTTCTAGTTTCTATCTTTTCTTAACTAGCAAGCACTCCTTTGATACTGTTATTAATCCACCATATATTGCAAATTCTATTAGTTTGCATTTGCCACTTAAGTTTGTTAATATGGCATTGCAGGTATAATTATAATTTTTATTAAGTCTACAAAGGAAAAAAAAATTGTTTCTATGTTTTAAAAGGTCAATTACACCTACACAATACGGATGCCCAGGTGGCTCAGCAGTTTAGCTCCTGCCTTCTGCCCAGGGTGTGATCCTGGGGTCCTAGGATCAAGTCCCACATCGGGCTCCCTGCCTGGAGCCTGCTTCTCCCTCTGCCTGTGTCTCTGCCTCTCTCTCTCTCTCTTTCTCTCTGTGTGTGTGTGTCTCTCATAACTTTTTTTTTTAAACCTACACAATAGCCAGTGTTATTTATAGGATAAAAGCTAAATTTTACCCATAAATCCTAGAGAGTTTTTTTTTTCAAAGATTTTATTTATTTATTCATGAGACAGAGAGAGGCAGAGACAGAGGCAGAGAAAGAAGCAGGCTCCGGGCAGGGAGCCCAATGTGG